GGTCGATGTAATACATCCATCGACCGATCGTGCTAGTGACCGTATCCTGCGTTTTGTAAAAGGTCAACGGATTGTTGTCCGTATTCCATTTAAAACGTCGACGGCCGAGAAGAAAGTGGTGCCACCGTTTGAGAACGGTGACGAACGCGAGTAGCTCTTTCTTCCTAGCGTCGTCGAGAGTGTTTACGAGAGGCACCTTTTGGGAGAAGTACTCGACCGGATGCCAACCGTCCTCGTGACACTGTTCCAACACGGCACCAATACCGTACCCCGAAGCGTCCGTAGTCACTTGGGTGGGAAGAGTGGGGTCATATATACGGAGGGCAGGTGCGGCTTGCATTGCTACCTTCAACGTAGCGAACGCGTCACGGGCTGCGTCGTCGAACTCAAAGGGCACCTTCGGGGACTGAAGTCTCGACAAAGGAGCGGCCACTTTCGAGTATGACTCGACAAATCGCTGATAGTATCCAGCCAAACCCATGAAAGAGCGTACATCCGTCGTACAACGGGGTTGCGGCCAATCCACGATGGCTTGGATCTTGTCCGCTAAGGGACGAATGCCTTTCGGCGTGACAAAATGACCCAAGTACTCAAGCTCTTGCTTGGCGAATTCGCACTTGTCGAGATTCGCTTTGTACTTGGCTAGTCGCAAACGATCCAGAACAACGCGAAGGTGTACGATGTGCTCGTCCAACGTCCTACTGTAAACCAAGATGTCATCAAGGTAGATGAGGACGCTGCGATCGAGCAAGTCGCGAAACTCAGTCGTCATCGCTGCTTGGAAAGTCGCGGGGGCATTGGTGAGGCCAAAGTGCATGACAACCCACTCAAAATGCCCGTACCGTGTCTTGAACGCGGTCTTGTACCGATCTTGAGGCTGGATTTCAATCTGGTGGTAACCTGACTTCAAGTCCAACTTTGAGAAGTACGTCGCGCCGCCTAACCGCTCAAGAAGATCATCAATCCGAGGGAGAGGGCCGGCGTTTTTTACGGTTTGTGCGTTAAGTTTCCGATAATCGATGCATAACCGTAGATCTTTGTTCTTCTTCCGGACGAAGAGAACAGGGTATGGCGAGCAATTAGGGCGAATCCAGCCCTTGTCGAGAAGGTCATCGAGTTGTGCGCGAAGCACCTCGAGTTCCTCTTCGCTCATGCGGTAGATACATCCATGCGGAGGGACGGCGCCAGCCTCGAGAGTGATCCCGTGACGTATGGGCCGATCCGAAACCGTTCCGGTGGGAGCCTCGAAGACGTCTCTATACTCGTCCAAGAGGTGAGAAATGCGTGGGTCCTGCGGTGACGCGGCTGGTCCGTCCGGCGAGGGGAGAGCATGCAAGAATAGAAGGCCCATCTCCTCGACGTCACTCCGAGCAATGGCGTCGCGAATTCTCGCAACGGAAACCACGTGGCAAGCAATCGAAGTGTGAGGGGTCGCGACCGTACATGGGACTAAAACTCCGTTCCGATCACGGATGTGAACGGTTCGGTCATGAAAGTTCACCGGATGATCGGCGCTACGCAACCAAGACATGCCTAGAATCATGTCGAACTTGGTGTCGAGGATGTCAAAAGACACCGGCTCGCACGCAAGTGGCACAAAGTATACCGGAACGCCGTCGACGCATCGGTCAATGGACTTTTGCGTGCGGCCGTCCGCGAGTGTGACTTGCGTGGGTTGCGTCTTCCTTCGAACGCGCGGGCCAAGGCCTGCGCGGGCCATAAAGGCTTGGCTCATAAAGTTGCGAGACGCTCCGCAATCAATCAAGGCACTACAGGTTGCCTTTCCGATTTGAATGCGGATATAGAGCAAAGGCGCGTCGGTTTCGACGTACCATTGGGTGGCGTACTCGCGGTCAATCTTCGCAAGATAGGAGCGGAGATCGACAACCGCTACTCCGTCGTCCGTCAACGAAGCTGGTATTGTAGTGTGCAAATAGGAGCCTAGAGTTGCCATCAAGGCGTTGCAATGCGGCCTTGGCAAGGTTCCGGTCGAGGGTAGAGGCATCCAAGCGAAGTCCTCTCTCGTGAGCGGGTCAAGCTCCTCAAGTCTTGACCACGCCGTCGAGTCCTCGGAAGCCAGTGGCGAGCTGACCGGATCTCTTGTCGACGGTGTACAGGCTGCGCATACGCTAGCTAAATGCACGTGGCTCGGCTGGTCTAATGGTGGTACCAGTTGGGCGGCATAATCCTCGTACGTAGCACGAGAATCAGCGACTAACGCATGCTTCCCGGTAGTGACATCGATTGCTAGCAAGGCAACCGGGTCCGGCGGAGTGAGGAGAGACATCGCCCCTCTCCTTGCGTAACTCAATTTCCCGAGTTAGCTGGACGGGGTACGCGTGCCTTGCCCTTTTCGGGGCATTGTGCAGTCACATGAGTGACACCATTGCACCATAGGCAATATCCGTACCGTTGACGCAGGTCATATACTTCCTTGGTTATCCTGTATGCCGTCCATGACTGCTGCCCAATTCCCGTCGATGCCGTCTCTTGTGTTGCCTTGTTCTTTCGAACTCTCTTGGGACGCTTCGGCGGGAGCGCTACTACAATTCCTCCATCACTCGAGGATGCTGCTACAGCGTGGAGATCATCTGTTTCTTCATAAATCACGACATTGTTATGTGTCGGACGTTGATAGCCCTGCTTAGCCACATAATGCGGCTGAGATTGTTTCTCGTTAGTGGCCTTGTTGTCCGTTTGGATGACCAGGTTTGCGCGATCCAGGATAGCCTAGAACGAGGTATAGTCGTACTCGTTACTGAGTGCCGACCGCAATCCTGCGCACGATCGCGAGAAGAACTCGGATCGTTGATTAGGAAAAGTCAAATCGAAACCTGGCGTGGTCACTATCTTTTGCCACTTGGTTATCCAGTCTCGAGTTGGCATACTCCCTTAAGAGCAGGTGTACACCTCGTTCATGGCCGCCTTCACGACGTTGCGGACCATGAACCGGGTGAACCATAGCTTCCCGAAATCCTTCCACGTAATGTGCGTGTGAAGTTCGGCGATGGTGCATGTGTGGGTAGCCGCCAGATGGTTCATCCATGCCTGCGCTCCTCCAATCAGCTGTAAGTATAACGCCTTCATCAGATAGTCGTCCGGGACAGTGCGGCATGATGCTTCCATGAGGAAACGTTGCCACCATGCCAAAGCGTCCGTCTTGTTGTGGTCGTCGAACTTGCTGATGTTGAAGTGCGGCATCTTGTAGTTCTTCGTAGTGGCGCCCGGTTTTGTCTGCAGCTTGGTGATGTCCGTCTTGATGGCGGCCACCATGCTACTGATCGTGTCCGGCCCATTGAAGACACCTATGTCGCCGATGAGATTGATGACATGATCGATGCGCCCATTGAGCTGCTTCATTATGTCTGTCATATCTGGCTCGCAGCCTGACGCTGCTTGGGGAGGTCGTGCCTCCAAGTTAGCAATGCGTGCATCCAGCTGTTTCAACTGGTTGTCCGCGACCTTGACAGCTGCTGCAAGTATCTTCACGTTGTGGCTCAGATCGTGCTGCAGCTGCAG